TGATAATGGACGAGCAACCTAACAACTGGAAAATGGTGCCACCGACTAATTCAGCAGGACCTTAAGCCCCTCCTTATAGGTGAAATTGTTCCTTTTTTTTTTTAATATTTATTTATTTGAAAGACAGAATGACAGGGGCCGGCACTGTGGTGTGGTGGGATGAGCCTCCACCTGCCGCCAGCATCCCATGTGGATGCCGGTTCTTGTCTCAGCTGCTCCTCTTCCGATCCACCTCCGTGCTGTGGCCTGGGAAGGGGATGGTGGAGAATGGGCCAAGTGCTTGGGCCCCTGCACCCACGTGAGAGACACAGAAGAAGCTCCTGGCTTCGGATCTGCCCAGCTCTGGCCATTGTGGCCATATGGGGATTGAACCAGCGGATGGAAGATCTCTCTCTCTCTCTCTCTCTCTCTCTTTCTCCCTCTGTCTGTAGCTCTACTTCTCAAATAAATAAGTTTAAAAAAAGAAAGGTGTCGCTCCCCCTCTTCATGGAGGAACGACACTAAACCCTGCCTAGGCTTCATATCCGAGTCACGGCACCATTTGCTGCTCCTCCGCACGCGGAGGAGCCGCACCGGACCGGGCGCTTGTTGTTCCCTTTTTTTACAAGTCCTTTCTATAGTAAAGTAAGAATAAGTAAACAGCAAACTCCCAAAGCAAGAATGAGTAGAGAGAAATGAGAAAGAACGAAGTAACGAACTTCCCCGCGAACTCTCCAACGCACTCTCCAACCAACCCACACCACCATGCCGTCGCTCTCCTCCTATATAGTCCTCCTCCGCCAATCCCAACTCGGCTGCCCACACGCTGAGCACACTGCTCTCCAATCAGGAGCAAGTCCTACAGTTTATTGGCTGAACTGGAGGCAGCTGTGTAGAAGCTGTTTTCTTCTCTCCCAGCGCCATATTGTGGGAGAGCAGATGCATAGAATAAGTCTTAATTCCAGTAACAGTATAGTCCGAGTTGCTCCCCACAGAAAGGGAGAGAGAGAAACTTCCATGTGCTTGTTCACTGCTCAAATGGCCATAACAGTCAAGGCTGGGCCAGACCAAAGCCAGAAGCCAGGAGCTTCTTCCAGGTCTCCCACATGGGTGCAGGGGCCCAAGAATTTGGGCCATCCTCTGCTGGTTTCTCAGGCGATTAGCAGTGAGCTGGATTGGAAGGGGTTGGGGGGGAGCTGGGACTTGAACTGGCATCCAGAAGGAATGCCAGCATTTCAGGCAGTGGCTTAAACCATTATGCCACAATGCTGGCCCTGAAATTCTTCCGTTTGGAGAATGAGAGCTACAAAGAAAGGAACAAAGGAGAGAACTTTTGGCAGAGTGCTGGGTAGAACAGCCTGCAATAACGCTAGGTTATTTGCATTCAAGGTAAGGTCATTCACTAGATATTTTTTGGTTGATGTGGCTTCCTCTTAGAGTCCATTTCCATTAGTAAAGAGGGAGTGGCACAAGTTAAATACCTAGCTCCTAGTTAAATATCTAAATGTCTGTCGATGATGGTTGCCTAGGAGAAGTCTTGGGAAGGCAGTTCCTCTGTTGTGTTTTCCCTTGCTCTAGTAGGTACCTTTGGTTCTGTGAGCTGGCCTACTTAGTGCCTGCCAAAAACACAAGGCCAAGCCCTCAACCGTTTAATCAAACAAGCTTGGATCCTGAGTACGAATTCCACTGCACACATCCATCACTAGCAGTTTGCAGAGAGAGTTTCACAGACCCGGTTCTGCCATCCTCTCCCCAGCAAAACCCCAACCCTTGGCACCTGCTCTGGCCTAACTGTGCTGTGCTGTGGTCCGAGGTCTTGAGTTGCCATAGCTCCCACAGGCTCTGCTGGATCGGGGAGGCTGGCAGAGTGAGTGGATGAGCGCTTGGGACTGCAAAGCTCCTAGCAACATGCCTTCTGCGCTCGATCTTTATTTTTTTTTAAATTATTTTATTTGAAAGACAAAGACAGAGATAAGCATATAGAGCACAAGAGCTCCTGTCTGCTGGTTCATTCCCCCAGTGCCTGCAACAGTTACAGCAGGACCATGGCCAAACCCAGGAGCCAGCAGCTCACTCCGGGTCTCTTGTGTGAGTGGCAGGGACCCAGTGGCTTGAGTCATCAGGACTCTCTCCCAGGGTCTACACTGACGGGAAACTGGAGTACGGAGCTAGAGCCAGGAACAGAAACCAGGTACTGCAGTGTGGGATGTGGGCATCCTAACCAGTATCTTCAAACACCTGCCACCCTGTAGGGCCTTGTGTCCGTCACTGTTTCTGTTTTGTTGCAGGGATATTTTACAGAAATAATATGTGCAGTATATTATTCTCTCTGTGGAGACTGAAGACACCTGAACTCAGTGGGACTGTCCATCAAGTGGATATAACTGACATCTATAGACTGCTTCGTCCAATGACAGAATACGTACCCTTCTCAAGCTCACATGGGGCATACAACAGAGAGACCACCTGTGCACCACTAAATAGCACCTTAGTCAGTTTAAAAGAATAGAAATGATGTCGTGTGTGCTCTCAGACCACAGTGGAACTAAATTAGAAACCAATAACAGAAAGATAGCTAGGAAACTTTAAAATGTTTGGAGGCTATACAGTGCATCCCTAAATAACTCATGGGTCAGAGAAGAAATCTCAAAAAATTAAAATAACTTGAGCTAAGTGAAAACGAAAATACAGCTGATTAACATCCATGAGATGCAGCCAAAGCAGTGCTTCAAGGGAAATTCATAGCATTGAATGCGTATGTTAGGAAGAAGAAAGAACTAAAATCATGAAGCTAAGCTTCTACCGTAGGAAATCAGAAAAAGAAAAGCAAATTCAATCTAAATTAGCAGAATAAAATAATTAATAAAAATTAAGCACATATCAATGAAACTGAAAAAAATTAGTTCTTTAAAAAGATAAAAAAATTAGTAAAATCCTAGCCAGGGAGAAAAAAATAAGAGGGGGTACAAATTACTAATATCAGAAATGAAAGAGAGGACATCACCACAGACCCTATGGATTAAAGGGATAATAAAGAATACTTTGATCAACTTCATGACCACAGATTTGATAAGCCAAATAAAAGAGACCAATTTCTTTGAGACACAATTTGCCAAAACTCACACAAGACAAAGGTACTCTGAACAGGACTGTATCTGTTAAATAAATTGATTCAATAATTACTAACCTTCCAAAAAAGAAAGCACCAGTCCTTCCAGTTCCAGACGGGTTCACAAGTGAAGTCCACCAGACAGTTAAGAAAGAAATTATACCAATTCTATACAGTCTCTTCCAGATGCTAGAAACGGAGAGGGGGTGCTTTTCTTAATTCCTTCTATGGGGACAAAATTCAAAGCCAGGGCTGGTGCCGTGGCTCACTTGGTTAATTCTCCGCCTGTGGCGCTGGCATCCCATATGGGCGCTGGGTTCTAGTCCCAGTTGCTCCTCTTCCAGTCCAGCTCTCTGCTGTGGCCTGGGAAGGCAGTGGAGGATGGCCCAAGTGCTTGGACAACTGTACCTGCATGGGAGACCAGGAGGAAGCACCTGGCTCCTGGCTTTGGATCGGCGCAGCGCCGGCCATAGAGGCCATTTGGGGAGTGAACCAACGGAAGGAAGACCTTTCTCTCTGTCTCTCTCTCACTGTCTATAACTCTACCTGTCAAATAAAAAAAATTTCAAAGACATTAGCAGAAAAGCAAACTACAGACCAATATCTCTAATGAGCATAGATGTAAAATTCTCAACAAAATATGAACAAATTGAATCCAGTAATGTTTAAGATGAACTCTACAATACAGACAAGTGGGATTTATTCCTGTCTTGCAAATATGGTTCAAAAATTTAAAAATCATTTGATGTGTGGATGGCATTGTTGCTTTGTGGGTAAAGTTGCCACCTGCAATGCTGGCATCCTGTAATGTCACCAGTTCGCATCCCAGCTGCACCATTTCCAGTCTAGCTCCCAGTTAGTGGCCTGAGAAAGCAGCAGAAGATGACCTAAGTGCTTGGGCCCCTGCCACCCACATGGGAGACATGGATGAAGTTCCTGGCTCCTGGCTTATGTCTGGCCCAGCAGTGGCTGTTGTGGTCAACGGGGTAGTGAACCAATGGATGGAATATCTTTGTCTTTCTCTCTCTTTAACTCTGATTTTCAAATAAATAATTCATTTTTAAAAAGACACAAAAAATCCATTACTGTAACTCATTACATCAACAGGTTAAAGAAAAATAACATGACCATGTCAATAAATACAGAAATATTATTTAACAAAACCTAGTACCCATTGATGTCCTAAACCACCCCCCCCCACAACTCAGTAAATAAGAAATAAAGTGGAATTTCCTCATCTTGATAAAGAATAACTACTAAAAAATCTACAACAATTTTTTTAAAGATTTATTTATTTATTTGAAAGTCAGAGTTACACAGCGAGAGAAGTAGAGGCAGAGAGAGTGAGAGAGGTCCATCCGCTGGTTGACTCCCCAATTGGCCACAACAGCCAGAGCTGTGCCGATCTGCAGCCAGGAGCCAGGAGCCTCCTCTGAGTCTTCCCATGCGGGTGCAGGGGCCCAAGGACCCGGGACGTCCTCCACCACTTTCCCAGGCCACAGCAGAGAGCTGGATCGGAAGTGGAGAAGCCAGGACTCGAACTGGCGCCCATATGGGATGCCAGCACCGCAGATGGCATTTTACCCACTATGCCACAGCGCCAGCCCCAGCAAATTTTAAAAATCAATAAAATTTTAAAATCCATTTTTTAAAAAGGGACAGGCATTTGGCACAGAAATTAGGATATTACTTGAGATGCTTCCTGCTAATGTGTACTGTGGGAGGCATCTTGTGATAGAGTTCAAGTAATTGGCTACCCATCTCCTACATGGGAGACCTGGACTGAGTTCAAGACTCCTAGCTTTTGCCTGTCCCAGCCCCAGCTATTGTGGTTGGAAGATCTCTCCATCCATCTGCCTTTCAAATAAACTTAAATAGTTAAAACTAAATAAATAAACCCCATAGCTAATACCTTACTCAAGGCTGAGAAACTGGAAGCTTTCGTGTCAAGATCAAGAACGAAGCGAAGATGCCCCTTCTCATTACTCCTCTTCAACATCGTTACTGGTAGTCTCTGTTAATGCAACCAGACAAGGAAGGCCTATTGTTATGGAAGAAATAAAACCGTCTTTGTTTGCATGTGACATGATTGTCCAAACAGAAAATCTAAAAGATGGAACAAAAAATCCTGAAGCTGATAAGCAACTGTAGCAAGATTGTAGGCCACAAGGTTAATATACCAAAGTCAATCGCTTTCCTATAGATCAGCAATAAAAAAAGAACTGTTTGAAGCTAAAAGCACAATACTACTTACTACACTAAAAAATGAAAAACTTAGATATAAAGCTAACAAAATACAAGACTGAAGAAAATCTATGCTAGGAAAACTATAAAACTCTGATAAAAGAAAGAGGAACTAAATTAAAGGGGAAATACTTCATGTTCACAGTTGAAAGACTCAATATTGTCTAAATGCCAATTCTTCTCAACTTGGTCTATAGATTCAGTGCAATGCCAATCAAAATTCCAGCAAGTTACTTTATGGATGCAGCAAACTGATTCTAAAACTGCTATGCAGAGGCAAAAGACCCAGAACAGTTAGCAGATATTGGAGCAGGAGAAGACAGTGAGTGGACCAACAGTGCCCGAGTAGAAGTCTGACTACAAAGCTGCAGTAATTAAAACAGTGCAGTATTAGTGAGAAAAGGGACAGACCTATGGAGCAGAAGGAAAAACCCAGAAACTGACCTAAATACATGTAGTCAGTTCACCTCTGACAAACAGGAAAAGTGATACAATGCAGCGAAGACATCATTCTCAACCAAGGGTAGACATCCATGAGAAGGGGAAAGAAAACCCTAGACTCATACCCTTACCCCATTCACAAAAACTAATTCTAAATGTATCACAGATACAAATATGAAATCAGAACCATAAAACTCCAAAGTGACATAGGAGAATATCTAGGTCATTTGGGGCATGTCAATGACTTTTTAGATATAACACCAATGGTGTAAACCACGAAAGAAAAAAAATAAGCTGGACTGAAATTTAAAAAAATTCAGTGAACTGAAATTAAAAACTTTTACTCTGTGAAAGACACTTCAAGAGACTAAGGCAAGACACAGACTGGAAGAAAAAAATATATATGAGACATATAATAAAGAACTGCTATCCAAAAGTTATAATATACTCCTTTTTTAGATATTTATTTATTTGAAAGGCAGAGCTAGAGAGAGAGATTTTTCATCCACTGGTTCACTCCCCAAATATCCATAACCACAGGAGTAGGCCAGGCCAAAGCCAGGAGCTGAGAGCTACTTCCGGGTCTCCCACGGTGATGCAGGGGCCCAGGGACTTGAGCAATCTTCCACTGCTTCCCCAGGTGCATTAGCAGGGAGCTGGATTGGAAGTGGAGCAGCCGGGGCTTGAACCAAGCCCTTATGGTATATGGTGCTGCAGGCCACAGCTTAACCCCTGCACCATGCACTGGCCTCTACAATATATTCTTTTTATTATTTTTATTTATTTATTTATTTATTTTTTGGACAGAGTGGACAGTGAGAGAGACAGAGAGAAAGGTCTTCCTTCCGTTGGTTCACCCTCCAATGGCTGCCGCGGCCTGCGCACCGCTCTGATCCGAAGGCAGGAGCCAGGTACTTCTCCTGGTCTCCCATAGGGTGCAGGGCCCAAGCACTTGGGCCATCCTCCACTGCACTCCCGGGCCACAGCAGAGAGCTGGCCTGGAAGAGGGGCAACCAGGACAGAATCTGGCGCCCCAACCGGGACTAGAACCCTGTGTGCCGGTGCCGCAAGGCGGAGGATTAGCCTAGTGAGCCGCGGCACCGGCCTACAATATATTCTTAAAACACAACAAGAAAATGTATAATCTGAGGTGGGCATTTAGACTAGCAGTTAAAATGCTGGTGAGGATACCTGCCTCCCAATTTAGAGTACCTGGGCTCCATATCCAGCTCCGATTCCTGACTCCAGCATCTTGCTAATTCAGACCCTGGGAGGCAGTGGTGATGTTTCAAGCGACTGGATTTCTGCCACCCACTTGGAGCCCTGAGCTGAGTCCCCAGCCGCCAGCTTCAGCCCCGCCCAGTCCCTGGCTGCTGCAGGCATCTGGGGAGTGACCCAGATGGGAGCTCTCTTTCTGTCTCTTCCTTTGCCAAATCAAAAATTAAAGAGGGAAAAATTAAAAAAAAAAAAGGAAGTATAATCTGATTTTAAATGAGCTAAAGACCTGAGCAGTCCCATTGCCAAGGGGGATACTGAGATGACAAGTAAGCTTAAGACAGTCAACATCACATCACTTGGCAATTGCAAAGTAAAACAATAGCGAGATAAACAACTCTCAGAATGGCCCAAATCCACAAAACTCTGGTAACACCAAATGTTGCCAAAGATCTGGAGCAACAGGAAGTCCCATTCACCACTGGGCGAGGACAAAATAGTAGCCACTTTGGAAGACAGTTTGGTGGTTTCTTACGAAACTATCTACTTTTACCACACAATCCAACAATCATGCATCCTAAGGTTTAACCAAAGGAACTGAAATCATGTCCACACAAAATTTACTTACAGGGATTGGCATTGTGGTATAGCAGGTTAAGCCATCACTTGGGATGCCAGCATTGCTACATCAGAGTGCCAGTTTGAGAAGTGGCTCCCACGCTTCCAATCCAGCTCCCTGTTAATGCATCTGGGAAAACAGCAGGTGACAGCCCAAGTGCTTGGCCCCTGCCACCCACATGGGAGGCCAGGATGGAGTTTCTGGTTCCCAGCTCGGCCTGGCCCGGCCCAGACATGGCCATTGCAGCCATCCTGGGAGTGAACCAGTGGGTGGAAGATCTCTTTCTCTTTCTGTCTCTCCAACTCTCTCTGCCACTTTTTCAAATAAATAAATAAAAATCTTTTAAGAAATTTAGAAACTTGCTCGTGGATATTTGTGGCAGCTTTATTCATAACTGCCAAAACTTGGAAGCAACCACGTCTTTCTTCAGGTGAAAAAAATTGTGCACCGCAAGCAACGGAATATTATTTAGCACTAAAAGCAAATGACTTATCAGGCCATGAATGGATTGGGTGGAAACATAAATGCACATTGCTAAGTGAAAGAAGCCAATTGCACAGGGTAATACTGCAGGGTTCCACTGTGGGGCATTCTGGAGAAGGCAAAATTATGGAGACAGGAGAGAGATCAGTGGCTGCCAAGGGCCGGGGGCGAGGAGGATGACTAGGGAGAGCGTGGGTCGTCAGGGCACTGAAGCTTGTTTGCCTGGTTTTATAATATTGGATACATGTCGCTGCACTTTTGTCCAATCCCACAGGATGTGCAACTCCAAGAGTGAACCCCACTGTCAACTGGGGACCTGGGTGGTAACCATGTGGTAACAAGTGCATTGTGCTGGCGTGAGGTGCTGATCGTGGGGATGCTGTTGGTGTCGAGGATGGTAGATGAGAACTCTCTAGAGTTCCTTCTCAATTTTGTAGTGAACATAATACTGCTCTTACACACACACACACACACACACACACAGCCTACTTACATAGAAGAGCCCCATTATATTAAAATTCCTATCACCCATCATCTCAAATTTCAGTTGTTATTGGCTACTCTCCTATCATCTTACATGATCCTCCTCAAATAGCTAGACAAACATTTTTTCCTGTACGGCAACACCACAAGTTTAAGAATCCCTGGAGGCTGGGGCCAGCACTGTGGCATAGAGGGTAAAGCCGCCGCCTGCAGTGCTGGCATCCCATATGGGCGCCAGTTCCAGTCCAGGCTGCTCCACTTCCCATCCAGCTCTCTGCTATGGCCTGGGAAAGCAGTAGAAGATGGCCCATGTCCTTGGGCGCCTGCACACACATGGGAGACCTGGAAGAAGCTCCTGGCTCCTGGCTTCAGATCAGCCCATGTAGGAGATTTGGAAGAAGCTCCTGGCTCTAGATCGGCCCAGCTTTGGCTGTTGGGCCATCTGGAGAGTGAACCAGCAGATGGAAGACTTCCTTCTCTCTGTCTCTGCCTCTGCCTCTTTGTAATTCTACCTTTCAAATAAATAAATAAATCTTAAGAGGCTCAGGGTGCTGCAGACACTGGGTGTCGAGGCAGCCGCCTTCTAGACACGCTGTGGCCATCTCCAGCCACCACGGAGGCTTTCCAAACGGTGCGAGATCACTTCGACTTCTGACAGAGCACACACGTTAATTCTCCCCTCTCCCTACCCCTGGCAAAATGACAGTAAGCCGAGAACAATGGAATAAGCCCCTAGGGAGAGGGAGAACAAGACAGGAGATGCCAGTGGTGAGCAATGTCAGTAAAATTTTGGAAAAGCAAACACGAAGGAAAATTGGTAACTGACTTGGCAGGACAAACGCTGAAGACGTCTTCCTGAGAACTGGAGACAGATTTGCTGGCAGAACTCTGGAACGTCTCAGAATTGGGGGGATCAAGCAGCTTCACTTGCTGGAGTGTAGGGTGGAGCTAGGAAGCAGGGCTGGTGGAAAGTTTCACTGCGGGGGGTAGTTAGACACCCAGATCCGCTCCTCGCGTCCCACCAGTCTACTACCCTTCCTGGGTTAGTTATCTGTTGCAGCATGACGAAGCACCTCATGACTGAGCAGTCTAAAACAAAAATAAACCCTGCTTACCTCATCGCTTCTGCAGGCCAAGAATTCCCAAGGGGCTTAGCTGGGCGGGTCTCCCTCAGGGCCCCTCACCCTCGGAAGGCTGCATCTGAACACTGGCTGAGCTGCAGGGATCTGAGGACTTGCCTGGGACTGGGGGAGCCTCTCTCTCCCTCCCTCTCTCCCTCTCTGTCTCACTTTTGGATTTATTTTATTTATTCGAGAGTCAGAGTTACAGAGAGAGGGGAGAGACAGAGAGAGAGGTCTTCCATCTGCTGGTTCATTCCCCAGATGGCTGGGGCCAGGGATCTGAAACTCTATCTGGGTCTCCCACATAGGTGTTAGGGGCCCAAGCACTTGGGCCATCTTCTGTTGCTTTCCCAGGTGCAATGGCAGAGAGCTGGATCAGAATCAGAGCAGCCACAAAGCTACAACCAGTGCTCATATGGGATGCTGGCACTGCAGGCAGAGGCTTAACCCACCACGCCACAATGCTGGCCCCAAAGGATGTACTTCTGAGAGGGCCCGGTCATACACCTGCCAGTCAAGGCCTCAGCTCCTCACCATGTAGACTTGTCCACTGGGCTGCTTGAGTGTCCTCATGACATGGCCGCGAGTTTCAAGTTGCACCAGGCAGCAAGGTGGAAGCTGCAGCGTCTTTTACGCCTTGGCATTGAAAGTCACAACCCAGCATTTCTGCACTGTAACCCTGGGTACCCAGGCCAGTGCTATGCAATATGGGAAATACACCAGAAACTGGGAATTACTAGGAGCTATCTTTTTTTTTTTTTAAAAAAAAAGTAGTTTATTTATTTGAAAGGCATACACACATATACCGAGGAAGAAAGAGAGACAGAGACAAAGAGAGATCTTCCGTCTCCTGGTTCACTCCCCCATAGCCCACAATAGCTAGGACCAGGCCATGCTGGGAGCCAGAAGCTCAGTCTGGGTCTCCCATGTGGGTGTCAGGGACCCAAGTGTTTCAACCATCGCCTGGTGCAAACCAGGGTGTGCATTATCAGGAAGCTGGATTGGAAGAGTCAAACCAAAAGGAGACACAGGCATCCCAGTGGTGACCTAGCCCGGCGCCACACACTCACCCAGCAAGGGCCATCAGGAAGACCACAGCCATACCGCCCTCCTCTATTCCACCCTTCCACACAGCCTGGAACCAAAGACCACCAGACCTTTGAGGAGAGCTTCTAAAGTGAAAAAAAGAGAGTGAAACAAGGAGAAACAAAACAAAGAATCAGAGGAAAAAAAAAAACTTTAAAAAGGGGATTAACTTTTCAGAGAGAAAGCTACACTATTACAACCTGGAAATAAGACCAGGATGCCATGGTAATGATCATGTCAGGAGCAGGAAATGTGACAAGCCCCCTTCTCAACAGAACTGTGTATGCAGTAATTCATCGAACCCTCGAAACAGCCCCTGGATGGCAGGTTCTACTACCGGGTTTATTTTATAGAGACATTTAGGAACTTCTCCAGGGTTATCCCTGGGAAGTAGGAAAGCCTAAGGTTGAACCCAGAGCTGGATCTCTTGGGAAAGAAGGCTTTGGATGCTGTAAACAGATCCCTTCACAGATGCATGGGTTACGTCCCGATAAGCCCATCACAAGTTAAAAATATCCTATGTCCAAAGTGCATCTAATCCGCCGAGCCTACCAAACGGCACGCTCAACAGCACAGGGCACCACAGAGTATCAGAGGTTCCCCTGGCGGCCGCAGTGCTGGCTGGGGGCGGCAGCTGCTGCCCTGCATGGCCTCAGGAGGCAGCACTGCCCTGCACCCCACTAACCCTGGACAGATCAAAGTTACAGATTCAAAGTACGGCTTCTACTGCAGGTGCATCGCCTCTGCCTCACTATTGAGTCAAAGCATCTTGAGTCGTACCACTGCAAGTCAGGGTCGTTGTAGAAGCAGAAAGCAAGGACATCGCTTTCAAAAGTGAATTAAACTGTGCGACACCTAGCCAAGAATTAGTAATGGTGGAGTACAGCGCAAGTGAGAGGAGGAGCAGATTTGGGGCTCCTCCCATCACAGAGAGGCCCCAGGACAAGCAGCCCAGGGCCTCACCTGCTGGGCTAGACACTTCCGTTCTTCCACGTTCCTGTTGGGAGCTTCGGGCAGAATCAGAAGCTTAGGGCTCGGAGGTGGGGGTGGGGGCTGGAACCAGGGAGCCAGCGCTGTGCCTCGGCTTCCTCAAGTTACACCTGTTCTTGACCATGACCGCTTCCATTTAGCATCCACCTAACATCAACCACAACCCTTTCTGTGGATGAGGAAACAGTAGTTGAGAGAGACGACAAGACCTCCAGGGTCTCACATCCGGTGGGTGACAAAGCGGGTGTCACCCTAGGCTTTCCTGGCATTGCTTGTGCCTTTTCCCAGCACAAGACACCTTTAGGCCTAATTCCCTGCCGGCATCCATGCCCTCCTGGGCTCTGGGACCTTGCTTCTCACCGGACCTTGTCACTTGCTTTGGCTAGTGCAATGTATTAGTTTGTTTTCTGTTACTATAATGAAATACCCGCGGCTGGGTACTTCATAAGAAGAACTTTATTTGGTTGACAGTCGTGGAGGCTGGAAGACCCAATAGCTCTGTGGAGCCCCCCGGCTTGCCTGGCTCCATCCATCCTAACAGTTGGAACCTGAGCAAGAGGGAGAGACCACATGGCATGTGACAGGGAGCCAGAGACTGACTCAGGGCTCAGGCTCACTCACAGCAACTCACTCTCATGAAAACTAGCCCAGCATTCCACAGGAGCAACCATAATCCCCTCCGAAGGCAGCGCCCATAGCGTCCTAACCAAAACCCACTGCCCCCCCTCCCCCGGACCCCACTATCTCTTCATATTGCCTTACTGGAGACCAAGCCTGGAGAGAGATACTGAGATCACACCTGAACCACAGCAGGGAATGTGGCCTGTGTGATGCCCCAAAGGACTGACGAATGCCTTGGGTCTTCCTCTCTTGCACCTTGGCCCTCCCCTGGGCTACACCACAGGTCTCAGAAAGAGGAAGAGAGAACGTGGAGCAAATGAGCCTACACCAGCAGACTTCCAGCCCACCCCCCAGGTCCAAAAGAATGCCTGTTGTTTTGAGACACGGAGTTTTGGGGTGGCTGGTCACACAGCATTTTTACGGTAAGAGATAATTGGTATGCCTGTCCTAGAAATGCATGCCAGCAAAATAAATTCCCGGATGACTGATGATTGGGAGGAATGAAGAAGCTCAGGATCTGCCTGGCTAGGGTGTCCGGCACCAGCAAATTAAAAGCACAGGACCCGGACCAATTTAGATTTCAGATAGGAGTGGGAGTTTAGCCTAGCAGTTAGACGCCCACATTCCACATGGGCGTACTTGGGTTTTATTCCTGGCTCCTGATTCCAGCTTCTTGCCAATGCAGACGCTGCGGGGTAGTGGTGATGGCTCAAGGAACTGACTTGCTACCACCTATGTGGGAGACTTGGACTGGATTTCTACCCCCTGGCTCTGGCCCTGGCCCTGGCCCAACCCCTGCCACTGTGGGCATTTGGGGAGGCAATCGGTGGATGACAGCGCACTTGCTCTTTCTCTCTCTTCCTGCCTCTCAAATCAATTTTTAAAATTTAAAAAATAAATTTCAGATAGACATCCAGTAATGTGTTAGTATAAGTAGGTTCCATGTAATATTTGGGACGTCCTAATACAAAAGGTTCGTGCTTTATTTGAATCACACATGTAACTGGGCATCCTGTATTTCACCTGGCAGCGCTATTCCGGCAGATTTGCAAGTCACAACATCGGCACCCGGTGCCAAAGTGCGCCTGCGCGAAAAAACACGCGCATGAAAACAAGTGGTCACTTCCTCCGAACTCCATCGGGCAACACGCGCCTACACAGGGCAGGCTCTCGGCGCTCACGCAGCCTGTCCTAGAGGGACTGTGTCCGAGAGAACTCGGCCCGAGACTTCAGGAATGGGAGGGCTTGCCAGTGGCTGGGAGGAGCCCCTCTCAGCCTTGCTATCCACCCCTCTAAAATGCGGGTCCATCGGGGAGGCTCCGAACTGCCCCTGCGGGTCCACAGACAGCATCCCTCCATCCCTCCGAGCTATCTGATTCCTTCCGCCACTTAGCTTGGATCCCGTGTTTCCCAGGTTCCCGGGCCATCTGTCTCCCAGGTGCTGCAAGGGAAAGGCACCGTGCAGGTGGGAGGAAAAGGCTGCCCCCTGGGCCCAGGGACTGTCGGGCCAGCTGGCCAGGGGGCCAGGTGACATCAGAGAGTGCCTCGCCCGCCAGGGGAGGTCGGAGCGCAGAAAGCTGTGACGTGGCCGTCCGCCCGCCGCCTCCCTCCCTCCCTCCGCGGCCACGTTCTTGGCTCTGCACAGCCTCCTTGGCTATTTTTGTGAGTAGTTGCCAACTCAGTCGGGGAGGAATTCCACGCTGTCAGCCAGCAGCAGATTGTTGCTGGAAAAATGACACAATTCATCCTCTGGGCAAACTTGCAAATTATTACAAATTTCCTCCTCGCTCCTCCGCGCACACAGCTGGCTGCAGGAAGGTGTCAGTTTTTCCATGGAGATGGGAGACTCTTCCTCTCCGTGATTTGTTGGGATCAAACAAATCCCTATGGCTCTCGGTTTGCTTTCAGTCCTGCTTGCCTCGCCCCTGCCATTGAAACAGAACCTTCACAGCCCTCGCCCTCAGTACCTCCCAAGATTCAGGCATGAAGCTCTCCTGCGAACGGCTTTGGAGCAAAGTGAGATTCCAGCGAGAAGCCCTGCACCCCCAGAAACAGGACACCATGAAAGGCACACACAGACGACATCGATGCAGAACAGTGTTGATGTCAGAGCACAGCCCGCCCATCTGAGGACCAAGGCTGAGACAGCGGCTGATCGCTGGGTCCACTGTGGACGGCGCGCTCTCAATTCGGATGATGCCTACAGATTTCTCAGA